TGCATCATTTATAATCTGCTGCTATAAAAAAGCAACGTACAGATGCAACTCTGTTAGAAGTGGTGGCATGCTGGGGCAGGTCCTGCAACCTTGTCTTCTGTGAGGCTAACTTGTTTCAGTATTGCACATGAGCAAACCACTCACCAGGTGTTTATTATTTTGCTTAGTGATAGGGCATGAGAAAGGGAAAGAGCAGTACTCTTTTCCTCTGCAATGAAATGTTGAAAGCAATGAAATGTTGGGGTGGGGGACTGATCTTGTCCCCTGTCCCCTTTCAGTCCAGGATGCAGTTTAGGGGTAGTTGCTGGAAGTAAATCCCTTGAGAGTGCTTTCTCCTCACTTTGTATCAGAGAACACCCTTCTGAATGGCTGGAGTGGAGCAGTCTCGTTTGATCAATTTACAGCCTTGTTAGGGGAAAAAAGTTTAAATGAAACACAGACTTTAATGCATCAAATGCTGCTCTAGGTGTACGGGAAACATGTTCAGAGTGATAAGTCAGCTACCAGGACAGACTACATCTGGGTTCAGTCCTTGATATTAGCCACATAGCAGGTTGTTCCTTGTGGTTACAATACCTACAAGAATAACTGAATCTCATGTGGTTTTATCCATTACAATAGCTCTGACAGAGCAAGTTAGGCCCTGGGGCTGTGAAGTCCTGGTGCCAATATGATAGAGAATTGCTATTCAGTCTCAGAGAATCAAGAATGACTTTCCATTTTCTCTCTCTTTCCTCCCTCTACTGGCCAACAGAATAAGATCAGAACACATTCAGAATTTTCTTTTGCTCTTCAGAGACATCCTAATCCAGAATTCAGCAAAACTTCCAGCTTTGTCTCATCTTGAAGGTAGAATTGAATGAGCTGAAACAGGTGCATCAAAGACCTACATGGGGTTTCTGTGCTGCTCTGAGGCTGTCTTTGGTTTCAGCCCCTGGGCTACCATCTGCCACAGGAATGTTCTAAAAAGGCTGATGTCCATGAGTGCCTTAGACAGAAAATGCCCTGAGAGAGGGCCTGGTGCACCTGGCTGCCTGGGGCCAGGCTGACCATTATCACTCCAAAACTGCAGAATGGCCAGGGAGTCAAGGCACCTCTGGAAGTCTCCAGTCCAGTCCCTGCCCAGAGCAGGGTCACCTCGAGCAGGTGGTACAGGGCTGTTTCTAGTGAGGTTTGAATATCATCAAAGATGGAAACTCCACAACTCTAGGCAACCTATTGCAGTATCTGGCCACTCTCACGGAAAAAAAGGTTTTCCTTTCATTTCATTGGAATTTCCTGTATTTCAGTTTGTCCCTGTTGCTTCTCATTCTTCCATTGGGCATCACTGATAAGTGCCTAGCTCTGTCTTTACTCCTTCCTACCAGGTGCTTATACACATGGATAAGATCCCACTGAGTCTTCTCTTCTCCAGCCTGTACTGGTGTATGGGTTTGTTTCTTCTCTCAATTTTGGACCATCTGAGGGTGCACTTTGCCTTCTTGTCTGAGTCATTTATGAAGATGTTAAGAAGTATTGGTCCCACTATTAACCCCTAGGGTCTACTGCTGGGGACTGGCCTCCAGCTGGAGGGGAAAAAGAAAACACATCTCTCTCAGAAGCCACGTGTTGGTCTCATTGTAGTCCACAGATCTAGGACAAGAAAATAAGTTTCCTGGTGGCCTCTGTACATGCAGTGAGGTGCATTTATTGACCTGTGTAACAGGGATGAAGCCTTCTGAGTGACAAACAGTGCCAGTGCTTCCTATTGGAGAGGAAAATTCGGGCACAAAAACTTTTAACCAAGCTGGAGTGGGAGAACCTGATGAACTCTTTCCCTCTCTGTTTTCCTCAGATCTTGAGATCTCACTGTGCAATGTATTGACAACATTGCTTGGAAGGACACCATAGCCTTTACTAGATGTTTCCACCTCTGCAATCTGCATCATACCTGTTCCCTTGATAAAACAGCTTTTGAACCAGAGGAGTCCAGGAACACAGCCTGCATCATTCTGTTCCATCTAGAAGCTTTTGGGGATGCTAATATCCAGATGCAAATATCCAGGATTGGTGTTAAATACTTTTGCACCCCAGAGTTTTAGACTTTTCCTTCTAGATTGCTTACTGGTTTATATTTTCTGAAAAGCAATCTCTGATTATAAAATGAGATGATATAGCAACAAACACTTTTCAAAGTCTGCTTCTGCTGAAAGAAAGCCCATCCAGCTGCATTAAGAGAAATATGAGCCTCTTAAATCTGCTCACCAGCCCAACAGAGGGAAGTTATATTCTGTTCTCCCTTAGACAATTTAGTAGCAGCCATTTCAAAAACACCGTTCAGCATCTTAAAAGCAAACATGCTTTTGACAAGACTTCTAACAAAAAAAAAGGACCCCCATAAAAAGCATGAGTAATAAAAGTTATTCTCTTAAACATAAGAGAATAACTGGTGAAATAATGGGGGATATGCTGGACTAAAGTTAAATTTTGCTATCTTTTTGACTACTGTCACCTCAACACGTGGGTAAAAAAACTCTCTCCTGGTCTTTATGAGAGTTATTTGGAACAGACCTACTTTAGATTTAATACACTTCTTAGACTGATGGTGAGAAAGGCCATTTTTAACCATCTCTTTCACCCTTAGGAGAACTCTTGGTCTTTCTTCCCAGCTTCTTCGAAGTTTTTCATCTATGGCAGATTAAATGTTTCACAGCTTTTCTTCTGAGAGTCTCAGAAGTATCCTGTGTATTGTGTTAAGGTGCATTTCTTATAAGACTTTTTGAAATCCTCCATCTTGTAGGTTCACTCTGTTACTGAAAGCAGTTTTGAAGGTGTAACCTACAATACTTTTGGCAATGTTTTATATGGTGATTCTAATAAAACACTTAGTGGTCTCCACCTCTCCTCCTCCTGCAGTTTTTCACAGGACAATAGCCCCGCCTCCATAGATCACAAGTGATCCTGTATACTAAGGAGAAATCCAGGATACACAACTGTTTGGGATGGCCATAATTTTCATCATCAAAATACCTGTTGCTCTGAGGTATTTTTTAAATTTCTGCGGAGGTCTGTGAGGACACAGTTCAATCATCACCTTGCCGAGACAAAAATTAAATATCTCAGTTCTAATCTGAAGTTTTTGCAGTGAAGTGGTGCCAGTAGCATGTTTGCTCAGAGGAAATTAATATGGATAGTCACAAGCAGTGGTAACAAATTTGTTGGCCTTTTTTCCTGGATAAGTATGTAGTGTAACAGCAACGCAGAGGGCCCCTGAAACACTGGTATCCTGCAGTGTCTGTTGTGGCTTCAGGTAGTTGAATCCTTTGGAAACTTTCTGCAGAAAAAGGAATATAAAGGATTTTGAGATTCATTGGTGTCTATGGGATGACATGTGATGAAAAATGCCCAAGTTCTATCCAAAGCTTTCAGGTTTGTTTCTTGCCAAGCACATCATCCATCAGATGATGAAGTTACGGATTGCCACGTTAAACACTGGGGAAGTAATCCCTGGAGGACTAAACAAAAGCCATGACTATTTCTTACTCATATAGGAGAATTTGAAATACTGTGTTTTCCAGTTGTAGGGCTGGTGTGTTTCCATTACTTACTTCCCAAGAGATCCAAGGGTGTAATGAACTGTACTGGAAAAGCAGATTTGTCATTTTGTTGGAATATCCAGGTGCAAAGTCTGGAATACTAAATTTTGCTGGAAAGAGTGATGGAAACCTCCCTGTTTCTGGAAAGCATTGTATCTGAGTGTTGCAGCCATGGGAAATACCCTCCTATGCATGGAATTTAGGAAGTCATTGCAATCAGCTCAGCAATAACCGCTGCCTTCTCCCCTTTCTCCTTATAGAGGAACAACTCTTTCAGTCAAGTAAACATGCTTGAGTGTTTTGTACTGGTAGGAGTGATTTGTACTTCTTCAGGGTAAAAACTCTTTGCTCTCCCAGTCCCCATCCTGCTGTCCATCCACTCAAGAGGTTTGCCTGAAGATAGGCAAAAAAATTGTTGAGTACCTCGTGAGTACCTCAGCCTTCTCCTCATCCATTGTTATCAGTTTTCCAGCATTGTTTATTGGTGGGGGTGTGGTGTGTGAACAGTTGTCCATAAACTTACTCTATAGTTCCTTTGGATTTATACGCTTTCAGATGATCCCTTTTCTTAAAAAGACAGAGAACCTCTTTTTCTTAAAAAAACCTAAACCAACCCGAACACCCAACTTCCCATAAATAATTTCCCAAGCCTTCTGGGAGTATGAGGTAGCTGGACCTTCAAGACTGCTGCATATTCTTCTGTGAGAGCCGCAGTTAGCTCTGGTAGGTAAACACTGCTAACACATCCATGTAGCAAGAAGTATTGTGGGTTGTAAAATACCCCTGTATACTGCATTTTCAAGTGCTGTTAAATTGCTTTACAGCATTAGCTTTGACTTAGTTATTAGTAGCAAAGGGGTGAACGAGGTGTTTGAGCATGTCGTTTGAGGGCTTGTTTATAATTCTTTTAATCCTAATGGCACCATAATTCTGAGACTTGCAAAAAAAGGGCCTGCCTAAGTAGTGGCATCTCAGTCTTCCATCTTTGCATTTGTATGAAGAGCTCAGCTTAGGGAAGCTTAGGAAGAGCTAGACAGAGCTGCTACTGCTGCTGTGATGGTCTGAGAACCGGCTAACTCAGCCCACCATTGTACCTCGGTATCTGAAACAGTATTTCTGTTCCTCTTCAAATTTGTTGGTGCCATCTAGGGACAGAACTGCAAGAGCCCTGCTCCTGTCTGTCCTTTTTCAAGACCTTATGGTTTCTTGCAAAAAAAAGCACTTGTCCTTCCAGCAATATCAGCTTTGTAATGCATTTTCTTTAGCAGTGACACGTTTAACCTTTCTCAGAACCATTGCTGTTATAAATATATGGTGCTTTTCAGATACACAGAAAAATCACCCTATAAAACATGATTTATTAACCACGTGTGGAGGTCCAGTATTTCACAATAGTATTTTACTCTCTAGTTATCCAGAACTCTTCTCATCTGAGCAAGAATAGCACTCGGCTGCATTCAACACGCTTGGGAGCATGAGGGTCAACACTTGCCTCTCAGCAATTCAGAGGCCAAAAATCTGCCAGGCACAGGAACAGAAGCCTAGGTCCACCCAAGAAAGCAAGAGCCAAGACCTTCTGAGGGTTGTTACCTTTGAAGTACAAAATAAGAGTGCCAGCTGGATGGACTCTGGTAGGGAGATGTTAATGGGGACAGGTATGATTATCAAGACAGGATACATTTCACCAGCTTTTTGCTGTAAGGCTGCTATAGAGGACCATGTTTAAAGCTTTACTACAGACAAGGAAACAGCATCAACCACACTCTGCATCCAAAGAAGCCAATCACTGCATCGTCACCAGCAGTCACAGACATGGCCAAGCTGTGGTAAGTCCATGCTGGCTGTTTCTAATCCTGTTATTCATTTGCTGGGATTTGCTTTGCAACCTTCCCAGGGACAGAGGTTGGCTGACTGATCTGTCTGTCCCTGGATCATTCTTCCTGCTCATATTGGTGAGGACTGTGATAGTCTTTCCAGTCACCAGGAACCTCTCCAATCTCCAAGACATTTAATGGTGATGAAGTGGTCTCATAAAGATGCTGGATACTTCCCTTCTTATCCTGGGAAGCAGATCTTCCTTTTCTCCTCTTCTACTCATTTTCTGCCTCCATTTTTTTATTGTTTTCCTACGTAAAATACTCTCCTGGGGACTTTTTCCTCCTGCATCTCCACAGTTTCCCTCTCTGTAATTTCCTTTTTTTTTTTTTAAATTTAATTTTATTTTTTTTATTTATCCTCACACTGGGCACTACACTCAAATAGCTGCTCTTCAATACGACCCCTCTCCAAAGAACCATAACATGAGAAGATGCTTAAACAAACAGGCACTCACCTCTGCACCATTAACCTGGGCCTATCTCCCCACATCATACTTCTTTTTTAATGAAAAACTGCTGGCTGCCTCAAAAGATATTGTCTAAACAAGCACAGAACAGCTCCTTAGAGAGATGATCTCTCCAGTTTTATACACTCCAATTTATTACTGCATCATATTTCTAAGAAAATAATTTTTCTTATACTTTTCTGCAAAGCACTCTTCTCACAGATTATTTTTAAACTTTCATTACGAAAATGAAAAAATCTATAAAACTTAAGTAGTAAAATGAGATGATCCTGATTTAGTAATGTGAAGGGGTGTACCTAAACTAAGTGGAATGCGATCTGGAATGTCTACCCATGGTGAGAAGACTGAAAGAGATCACATAAAGACAGAAGAAGCAAAAAGAGGTTGAGAGGACGTGTGTGTTTTTATAAGATTGGGGAAACGCCACCATCCCAGGGAGACATCGGCTGAGCCAGCTGGGGGCTCACACCTTGCCCCTGGTTTGAATGGATGACAGGATTTTTCTTAAGCTTCGTTGTTCTCAGGGTAAGTTTTGGGGATTCACCCCCCTCCACACTATTTTTGTAGCATCTTCCCCTGCCCATACTAGTGCACTGCACCCAGAAGCTGCCTGTAACCTTGGGAGGTGAATTTGCCCCGTCACCAGCAGTGGTTTACAACCTTTTGCAGGCAAATGTGCACCAAAGCCGATCCCAGAAACATCTCCGCTCTCCCCCCTTCTGGAATGCATTAATTACGCAAGCATCCAGACAGTTCCTCTGGTGTCCTTATCTTAGGACAAAGCACATTGCCCGCGAGAGGTGAGGAAAGGAGTGGGGGAGGACACATGTGAAGACCCGACTATCTTTCCTCACGGTCACGGGCGCTTAGGTAGGAAGTCGGCATTAAATCTTTCCTCACCTTTAAACCAGTTCATCCCTTCATTGTCTCCAGATGCAGACACCTTTATGTCTAGCCAGGAAAAAGAACTGGGGGTATCAGGTATCTGCACTTTTAAACGTTATCAGCCACTTCCCTTAATTTGTTTCAATAAATTGCTGATGGAGGAAAAGAACAGGATTTACCCGCATACACATAAAGAATATTTCTGCTACTACTTTTTTCAGATCTCTGAAGATTTGACTTTCTTCCCTCTCTCTCCCTCCATCATTTATGTGAAATCTTCCTTATTTTTCCCTGCGTTGGCTTTGGTGTCTAAAGTCTATTCCATTTTTCATTAAAACAGTGTTGTTTTTGCTCACCTGCTGGTTATTTCTTTTAAGTTCCCTACTGCAGAGAAGAAAGTGACTTTCATTTGGAACTAACTTCAGCACTGAGACATCCAGGAGCTCCTAATTGTTAGGATCTACAACCCAGGTTTTTAGGTTTTCCTCCCACTTCATCTAAAGACTTGCACCCTCCAAAAAGAAACTGCTTTTATATGGGAATACAGCTCACTCAAATGTCATACTTCACTATGCCACACCACTGAGAGCCCCTAGGTAAATTAGAGACTGGATTAGTGTGTATCTACTGCCTTGTACTGAGAGAGCCATAAACACAAGAGGTAAAGAACTGAGACAGATTATGTTTGGGTAGTGCCACCTTGGGTATGACTTAGTCGTTAATAATGTTTCTATTAATTTTTTAGAAATATATTAGAGTTTTCTTGTTGGCACAAAAATTTTCCCACTTTGTGGGAGCATTGGGCACCCACAACCCCTTCTCTCATGGTGCCTCCAGGAGGAGGAATGGATCCTGTCAGTGAATAACAGAGAAGCCTCTTTGCAATGCAGCAATGGTTGTGCGTGCAAGAGATAAGTACTGCAAAAGGGTTTGTTAGGGTCCCTTCTCCTCATTGGGAGGAGAGAGAGGATGCAGGAGTGAGGAAAGGATAATGATACTGAACTGCAGGGCTCCTGTGAAGGTACCACATATGCTCTTCTGCTGGGTATATTTCCTTGTTATAGTCTCTTGGCCTGCTTTTCCCCATGACAGTGGTCTGTGAGCTGTCACAGACCTTCTCCTTTGCTCAAGGAGAAGACCTCAGTTCCAGTTCCTCAGACTCCCTCACTGCTGCAGCACTGTGGGCATGCACATGCCCTCATGCTGACCTCCTCCCGTGGCCTGTGTTTTGATTTGCTCATCTCTCCTGTGGCTCATCTTCATGTTGGGTGCTGCTGTGAGAGGTGCTGGACTTGATGTCTTTGTAGAAGACATTTCCTGGGAGACCATACAGCTCCGTGACATCACCACAGGGCACCAGGCAACAGAGCATGGCAGCTTTGGGATTGCCACATGCTTTCCAAGTAAATTCCTCTTCTATTCAGCACCACCCACCAGGTATGCATTCACCCCTTCTCTTGCTCTGTTCTCCAATAGGCCTTGTGTCCTCTCTTCCCTCCTGAGACTCACTGTTTTTTGATGTGCTCCAGGTGATCCCTATAACTTTGGGGATGCAAGGGCAGTAGGGTGGGTCCTGCCACCTGCAGTCACAGGGCAAAGACACCTGGATCCCTGGAGAGATCCAGTGTGCTGTGTAGTTGTAGCAGAGCACAGAGGATAGTCAGCAAAGTGCTGGGATGTCACGGTCAATCAGGAGCTTAATTACGGATACACAGGAGGAAATTGCCCAGAGAGGTTGTGGATGCTCCATGTTCAAGGCCAGGATGGGTGGGCCCTGAGCAACCTGATCTAGTGAGTGGCATTCCTGCCCATAGCAGGGGTTTAGAACTAGTTGATCTTTAAGGTCCCCTCCAACCCAAAACATTCTATGAGTCTGTGAAGGACGTTGTTCTTCCACTGCTTTCTTTCCACAGAGTAAGTGCTGGAAAGCTGGATGTAGCTCTTGTTCAGTGTGATGCAAAGGCAGGGTAGGTATAAGTGTGTTTTTAACATCGTAAGATATTGCCATACAGCAGTCCTTTGCATGGCACTGCACATGCTAACTGGGTACAGAGCTGCTGTTAGCACTGGAACAGCACCTGGGGATGGGTTTGTCATCTTGGGTGTGAACCCAGACTTAGGGTGCTTGTAACATAAAGCTGTGCTCCAGAGTTGTTTGAGATCCCTATTCAGACACAGCAGCCATGATCTAAATTGTGGATGGTTTCAGTGTGCCTTGGCCAGGATCTCAGAAAAGTTGAATATGCGTGTGCTTCTCTGTTTAAGACCAGGATTAATACGGTGCACGCTCTAATTTAGATTCCAGGAACGAAGTTCAAGAATCTACGCTTGCACAGCCAGGAGGGCTATTTGAGGCAAAAGTGAAATTGATTTTGGTTTAAAAGGGCTGTAAAAGAAGATAGGAGTAAATATGGAGAAAAATAATCTAAAATTGATTAGAAAGCAGCTATTACCCAGCAGGCAGTAAACCACCAAAGATAGACCATTGAATAACCATGAAAAGAAAATGAGAATGCTGTGGTATATACAAATAATAATCGAACACGGCACTCCTGCAATGATATTTTTTTGCTTCAATCAGTGTGTCACTCCGACTGAAGAGTGTTTTAAGATTAGAAACTGCTGTGAAAGACTAGAGATGTGTGCCCTAGACCTTGGAAAAAACTTTGAATCAGGATTGGTAACTATCAGGGGGATTTATGTCAAAGTTTACCCTAGAAACTCAGCACTGGGGACAAACTCTGGGAGTGGACTTCAAGCAGAACCTGTGGGTCAAATTAAGTCACAGATACCAAACTGAAGGAAAAAAAAGACAGATTTCATACCTGATGCTGGCATGGAAAAGGACAATCTGGCTGCACACTTGCAATATCTGGAACATGAAACTGTGGCAGTGGTTTTAATTACACAGATGGGACTTACTGAATACACCAGTTTGGAGACTGTAGAGAGATTCCCAATGAATGGCTGTATCACAGACATCAACTTACTGTACAAATTTCAACTACATTTTTACAACCATACAGTGAACTTTGCACACCTAGAGATGTGCTCAGGGCATTTTTACTTCTAGTTCTCTTCAGCCCAGACTTGATGCTGTATGTAAGGCATATCTAACATTAATGAGAAAATAAAATTATACATTCCACTTTGTCCTTGGGAATTTATAGAGGTTCTATTACCCAATATACCTGTGAACTCCTCAGACTTATGGATTAGTTCCAAGTGAGTGAAATAATTAATGTCTCACCAAGCTATATATGGCACAATTAAATATTTTAAGAATAAGAACCTAAGTGTTAGTTCAACCATTCAAGTTGGTATGAGTTCAGATTTAGAATATCATGTGCAATCTTAAATATCATTCACAAAATTCTTGACGTGAAGTGCTTTTAGGATAGTCCTTGTAACAGCTAGGACATTAAGCTTAATCTTGCACCCAGTTGTAATAATACCTATGTTTCAAATAATTATACTAATGTCAACTATTGCATTGATAAATGAGAATTACTGTTTCTTTGAGATAAAGGTTTATGCAAACTCTTGCTTGTGATACTGCCTCTCTACCCAGGGGGTGGGTATGGCTCAGTGTTAGCTTGGACCCTGTCTGGTTAGACAGTCACCTAAGGGGCAGGAACCAGAAGTGGTCCAAAAGTCAAGGTTTTTTACATGCCTCTTCAACAGACCTTCCCACAACACTGCAGTGTAGTGCCTTAGATGTTTTAAGTGGTCCACGTGAGCGTCTGTGACTTCTGTCTTCAGGAAAGTGAATTCTCCATCAGCACAAGTCAAGGACTGAACCTTTCTCAGATACTGGGGACCTCCATGGCATTCCTGCTGCTGCTTTATAGAAACGAGCCACAGGTACCTGCCATATGTCTTACTGCATTGTAATAATTAACATGAGTGTCACAATCTTAATGTGGGATTATAAACCTATATTCATAACTGCTGTTCGTCTCCAAAATCAGCAATCTGGCTTGTGTCTGGATCCAGCTCCTGCACTTCCTCTGCCCTGTGTGTGCCTATATTGGTCTTCTTCTGTCCATGGAGTTATGGTAAGTCTCTGAGGGGACCAGCTTTCCCTATATAAAGTAACGTGCTGCAGGGGGATCTGACTGAAGGAAATGATGGTACTACAAGCAGCTGGTGGAGCGGGATGGAAAAGTAGTGCTTCTGTCTTTTGAGACTCTTTTTTTCTTTTGAGACCTTAAGTTTCCCTTCAGTCCTCTGTGTCTAAAAGTCTGTGATTTTACACAAGAATCCCAGCCTTCAGAAAAGGGAGAATTATGTTTTTACCAAACATATATGCATATAGAGGGGCAGAGGAGGGAGTTTTGAAGGGCCTTAATTTCCTGCCAGTGTTGGGGTTGAAGAGAGTAAAAGGACTGTAAAGAAGAAGACATTGCATCTTTCAGAGGAACAATGAGATCCGGTCTAAGCAAGCTGGGTACAGATATATACTTGCTCTGGTTTTACACTCTTTGTTGTATATTTAGTTTATTATGGCTGCTGGAAAGAAAGAGCCGATATTAGGTTTGAAAACATGACTTATGTAAGATAAAGGAACCCAGAAATACAATGCACATAAATATGAGAAGAGGGAATAGGTTGCTCTCAGAAATGTGGAATAAATTTGCAGAGGCACAGTAAAAGATGAGAGATTATAAAAAGGCATTAGAACTGTCACTGTAAAGGAGTCAGGGAATTACACAGCAAGCTCACATTACCAATTCAGACTGGAGGTTGCTTTAAAGAATGGCCTGGTTGTTAGAGGTAATGGAAGAGCAGTGCAAAGTGCATTGAAATCTGATATTCTTTGGAGAATTCAGTGGGTTTATATGGGTATAGAAAAATGTAAATGGTAAGCATAAGCTATGTACATGCAGCAGCCTCATAAAGACTCAGAGATAAAGGAAATTGTTGAAAACGAGCTATTTCTTCAAAATACCAACTTAGAAAACAATAGAACTCATGCTGATAGATCAGGAGACACTACAGCCATGGTTTCAAGTGCAGATATATTTATACTTTGCTTTTTTGCCAGAGACTACATGGCAGTGTTGGTTCATTGTTTGCATTTCCCTGTGGTTTTGCTATAGGGAATCCAGCATTAGAGCATCTCGTAACGCCCTTCATATCTGCATTTGCCAGGCACAGAACCACAGAAGGGGGCTGAGTAATGAGCTGTGCTTCAAAGAACAGAATATTCAGCCATTTTCAAGGGCTGCTGGAGAAATTCCACAGTGTAACATCCGCTCCCAGATATCCTGTATTGAAAGGTCTACTGAAAAATGGAATTAGGATGATTTAGATTTTTTTTTAAAAGCTACCAGATCTTAAAGAGATTCTTCTGCTGAGCTCAAGAGACTGCCTTTAAAACACAGTCTCCCTTTATTTTAAGAGGTGATTGAGAACCAGACTTACTAGTACAGAACTAATCTGAGTGCTTATAAATACCATTGAAAATATGCAAGAGTCATACTCTTTCACGGGGAACAAGGATACTAAAGTGCAAGGAAGATGCAGCCTGCATACACAAACAAGACTTCATGGTCTCTGTCTGAAAAGGAGATTGCTTCTTTCTCCTTCAGAATACAAACACCTGAAGGACAGGCTTTGGGAAGACAAGGAGAATATGGAGATGAAGCCTGAGGAAGTAGCACCTGAAAAGATTTTACTGAAGTCAAGCAGAGAAATCAGTAAGAGCTCCTGAAAGACATTTTGCATGCTTTTAGAGCAGCTAGTGCTGGTTGGTTTTTTTTATAAGAACCATATCAGAGGGGAAAAAAGGATTTGTAATATATGGTATTATCAAGAAGACCAGTGAGAACTGGCCTGAGAGGATCAGACTGGAGACAAACTGAAGCAGAGAGACCCATTTTTGTACCTATACCTGCCTACTCTATTATACAAATTATTAACTTTCTCTACCATATACTCTAATTAAGGTTTGCCTGCCAAGGTGCCAAGACTACTGAAATGGCATTTTGAACTCTTGTATGGCTAGGTGCTTTTGGTCTGGGTGGGGTTTTTTGTTTGTTTGTTTTTTGTTTGGTTTTGGTTCGTTGGTTTGTTTTGGTTTGGTGAGTTTTTTATTTGTTATTTTTGTTTGGTGGGTTTGGGGTTCTTTTGGAGGGAGGTGGGGGGGTTTAAGCTGTGATTCAAAGGTTTAAAGGGCAGCTAAAAGTAACTTTGCAAGTGTTCCCACCCTGTAACTTTCCGTTTGTGTTGCAGTCACAGATGCATCTAAAGCAGGGTGCTCTGCAGCTGGCACAAGCACTGTCTCACCAGAGCTCCTGCCCTACCAGGTGGAGGACAACAACTCCCAGGTGTCTGTCCCAGTGGAAGTGTGACTGTCTATAAACCCCATATCTCCAGCTGGAGTTTCACCTCTCTTGTGAGCTCACATGGAGTCACGAGCAAATGCCCCAGACCTTTGAGAGTCACTGGTTTAGGATGAATGGGTACCCTCTGGTGCTCCCCACTGCCTGTTGTAGGGAAAGACACACTGATCTCTCCTGCCCAGAAGAGGGGGGTAGTTGTCTTGCAAATCCTTCAGTCACCCCCAGCTACACCCCTCTGCCATGGTCATCACCTGCTTCACCACCTCTGGCTCCTCTTCTCTTCCCTGGCTGATCCCACTTCCACGGCTCCCACCTCTCTGCCCATGAAGCTCAAGGACTGATGTAGCTCTCCCACATGGACAAGCCACTGCTGAGGAGGTGCTGAAACAATCAAACACGGTGAGTTGGCAAGTTCTGAAAGGAGCAGGTAGGATTTTGGTTGGGTTGTGTGCAGCACAGTATTTCATCTTGGTAAAATAAAAGGACCAATATTTTGGATTCTGTGGCAAAGCGTCAGTGAACAAAAGTCTTAGTAAACAATCTGCTCACTGCAATACTTGGAATACATTTAAATTTAGCCTGATTTTGTTTTTTCATCTTTGGCTGTGACTGAATGGTGGCTTTGTTTATAGCAACTGTTTTTGTGTTCCAGTGAATCACCTCATGCAGAGGTGGTGTTCAAGAAATAAAGGATGAGTCATTCTGGAGGGGGGGGGGGGCAGCAGGAATTTGATGGGTATTCTCATTGTCAGAAAACTTTGGAGAACCTCTACAAAGAAAAGAAACTATGTTTACTTGTACCAGACCGTACTCCAGGGAAATACACTCAAAGGGTGTCTTTATTTGAGAGTGCTGAGATGAACTCTGTGGCCACTGCGTTCTACTGGAACAATATGGGGATAAATGAGGTGTTCAACTTCCCCTTCCATCTTGTGGCTTCTCTTCCTTTAGCTTTGGAGTGGTTATGCTGCAATGATGAAGATACTCCATGTGGGGCTCCAGGATCTCATTCCTGCCTACTTGCCATTTGTTTGTAAGCTACTCTAGGACAGCTGCACCTCACAGAAGTGAATACTCCAAAAGAAAGCACTTTTTTCTGTCTTCCCTACTACCCTCTTGTACTTAATACTCTACTGTAATACCTTTAGAAGACTTACAGCATGCACCAGTGTATGTCATATTCCTCCTACAAACAGCTTACTGAAGGCTTGCAATAGGCAACATGCTTGGTGAGGTGGACATCTGTGTTTGAGACTTGACCTCACACCTTTTCACCCTTGTCTTAACATGAAAAAAGACAAAAATAATTTTGCAGGTTGCAGTTATACATGAATATGAAACACGGGTCTCTGAGTTCACTGCTTTCATGCAGACAGGCTGCCTTTCAGAACCATTTTCTCCCACCTCCCTCCATGATTTCAGAGCCACGCATGTAGGTACTGCATTCAGGAGGAACTGGCTGCAGATACCTGTATAATCAGGGTCCGTGGTCACTGAGCAGCAGAATATGAATGTGGCATAGAGAAATCAGAGATTTACTCTTCTATTACTTGGGAATGTAATAAGACTCCTCAGGACCACAAATGGAAGTTAGGAAAAGCAAGCTTGATTACTTAAGATTATAGAAAAATAACCCAAACTTTCTTCCAGTTTTCAAAGCATTGCCCTGGGAACAGAGTAGGGTACTTTGGAGACTTTTTACTCAGTATTTCAGAATGTTTTGACACTTTGTTGTCTTTGAAAGCTACCTGGAAATAAACCCATTTCTTGTTGCTTCTTCCACATATCTCTAGGTTTTCTGAAAATCCCTCAAGTAACATACCTGTAATTACAAAGTCAGCTCTTGTTTGTTTTGAAAGCTTTGCCTAATGGGAAAATAAGTAATTAAGATCTCCAGTCAGCTGTAGCCAACTTTAGCCACAAAACTGCTCATTTCAGAGGGAGCTGGAATAACTGACTCAACTTGAAAATTTAAATAGTTGTTTCAGAATACTGGCAAAAAAAAAATTAAATTGGACTCACTGAATTGGGAATTGCTGATTCTGACTTAATGTTTGAGTTCTCGGAGTTATTTAAGGTATTCTTTTTTAATACATAGTGGGCTGGGCTTTTTCACCCCAAATTTACAAAGCAGATTTTTTTAAAGACTGAGTCCTTAACTGAAGGAATATGCTCTTGAGATGCATGATACTGCCAAAGATCACAACCACCACTGAAACTAGAAAATAGTGACCCTATTAACACTGAGATTAAAATGAAAATGAGGGTGAGGACTTGTATTGTGAGACTGTGAAATGCAGTCTGATGAGACTGACCCGGACATTTTTGTACTGCCATGAAGCAGCAAAGCAAAGCTTGTTAACCTTTTTCATCGATTCCAGTTTCCTTTTTGTTTAAATTGAAATGTCTAATGTTTCTTGTTTTTTTTCATTACTACATAGTGTAATACAGTTGCTGCTGCTATTAACCTTCAGGCAGACAGAAAATCAGTGAAGGTTGATGTGTGATACACTTTTATCTGGAACTAATAGCCCTTGCACTCAGTTACAGAGAAAATATTGTAACACCTGATTTGTGATAAAGATAGTGGGAATAAGAGCTGGTGCAGCTCAGAAAAGCCATTTTTTGTTGTCTGATGGTGAACTCTGCTTCTTTTGGCCACAGGTGTCTCATATTGCAGAGGAAGGAGTCACAGAGAACAGAGATCATTAACCCTCTACAAAAGCTTAATATTCCATAAATGGCACATGGAGAAAGTGCAATGGTAGCTGCTCTTGAATCCCCAGTGAAGAAAATCTCTGCCTGGTGCAACAAGCTGCTACCTGTGCAGGGGATGGAGCAGCAGAAAATTGCTAAAGATATCATGAAACCTGCTTTGTTGGGCTGCACTCTGGTGGGGGCTGCAGTTATGTGACTGCACTGGGACTGCTGCTGGAAATTGTGTTGAAAAGATGTGGAAGCATCCTCTGCTCAAACAGGTGATGAAATTCTTATGAGTTTGGTGGATCTTAACATTCATTTGTAGATAGCAGCATCTGTGGGGAGAGATGGGGTTTCGTGGGGTGAGTGAGTCGGATGACTTGGATTTTCACGATTTCTGCTTTCATGTATGCCTGCAGTGCTGTTCATGTCCTATGCATAGTTTCTGTGGAAGCAACACAATATGCTGGACTGCTGAAGATACAGCTGCCAAAAAAATGGTGCAACTGATTTAGTATGAAACTAGGTTTACATGTGCACTTGGCCAACAGGTGAATGGTAAGAGACAGGACCATCAGGTCTTTATTTTGTTTAAAAATGGAGGTTTTCAGCTAATACCCCTGTAGAACTTCGAAAAATTCAGCTGACAGTTCTACTTCAGAAGCAAGGCAGTCAGGTACAAGATACTCACTGAAGTGTGCTCCCACGAGGCAAAAAACAACATGCAGACAGGGTGCAAGATTGCAGTAGAGGCCATAGGTGATAACTGGGCTTGGGCTCATAAATCACACGGCAGACTGATAATACAGATGCTTTTACTGTCGAATACTGATTAGGGCCAAGTAATAAGTGACAATTTGGCTCTTTCATAATTTGCTTTTGAAACAAAGTTTTGTTGAAACAGATTTTTCTCATGTCCCTTCAAGTTTGTTATCAGAGCTGTGCTGCATTTGGGCTTTTGCAGCACTGTCTAAAATAAAAGGCAGGGGAGATTTCACTCTGCCTGCCTGTAAGAAATTACTTCACTCCCCTTCCCTCCTCCACCTCTCGCTGTTTGGACCCATCCTCTGATAATGGGATTTTTGCACAAGTAGTTTGTTTTTTGCTACCAGTGGTATTAATCTAACTTGCCTGTCCTACAAGGGAGAGCATCTTCTTCAAAAGAAAGGAGGAGAGAGATGGGGCATTCAGGAGAAAGAATGTGTGATCTGTGCAAAGTCCTCCCCTCTAAAAAGGAAGGCTGCAAAGTCTAGATTGCTGTCTAATTCCTTTGGAATCTGCAACTGCTTAGTCCAGACTTCGTATTTAGGAATAACCACACTCTCTCTGTCTCTGGAAATGTTGTTATCCACAAGTAGGAAGGGGAGATAGTTGAGTTCTTACCAAAGTGGAGACAAGAATCCTATTTTGTGTTGCTGAGGGCAATTAGAATAAGAAAATGGCCCAGTATTTATCAACTTCCTGAATCATAGTGTTAATTTTCCTGAAATCACCTAAGTGTCCTTCTTCGCTGGTGTGACTAGCGCTTTTCTATCTCCCAAGATTAGAGACTTTTACAGGAGTGAATGAACTGAGAAGTCAGTTGCTCCCTGAAAAATGATAACATTTTTCCTCAGCTGCATGTGTGGAGGTCTTGGTGAACACCAGTTTCCCAACATTCTCCTTGAAAGCCCAGTGAAAATATTTCAGTCATTGCCAGAAACTGATTGCCACATACTTCAGCCCCTTACTTACTGCTGTACCTCAATCAAAGGGAATAGCCATTCCTGCATTCCCTGGTGAAAAAGTAACTGTCTGAACGCCTGTGCACCAGCAGCACTTGCAGGCTGTATTGCAACGGGTAAGTTTTGCCTGTGGTGGATGGATGGATCCTTTCCTGTGGCATAAGCTGTACATGTGTATGTCCTGGGATATATTATGCTGTACCTGCACAGCAGAAGCTGCAGTAGTGACCAGACTCAGAAAACCTTTAGGAACAGTAAGAGCAAAGTGGAGGGCAGCCTGGAGGTAAGTGTTCCTGGGGAAGAAAACACCATCCTGTCACCCACAGAAAGCAGCTCTAGCCTTCGGCAGTGGTGCTTCCCTACCCGCCGGGGCCTGGAGGCTCGGTAAAACACAGCCAGCGCTGGGAATCGAGAGCAAGGAGCACTGGAAACCCAGGCTGTGTGGTTCCTTGAGAACTGTGTCCGGCTGTTGACTACCGTGTGTGTGGGCAGGTACGAGCTGTGACCGGGGCTCCTCCCGCACGGGAGCGAGCTCCGGTACCCACCAGGATGCAAACCCGTGCCCAGCCGCCTCCCTCCCCGCACTGCCGAGCAGGGTGGGCGGCAGCGACCCCGCCGAGCGCGCCGGGCCCCGCAGCCCCCGGGGGCGGGTCTCCGCTCCCCCTCCGCCGAGCGGGCACCTCCCTCCGGGCGCGGCGCTGCGCAGAGCTCGGAGAGCCCTGGACGCGCTCCCCATCGCCCGGCGCTCACAAGGGTTAACACCGCCGAGCCACGGAGCCCAGCGCCGCCCCTCGCCCGGCGGCCCCGCAGCGCCGCCGCCCGGCCCCGCCGCCGCCCCCGCTTCCCCCGGCCCCGCCGCGCACATGGCCCCGGCCCCGGTAAGTCCGCGGGTAAGTCGGCAACAAAAGCGGGGCGGTGCCGGGCCAGGGAGCCCCGCGAGGTGACGGGCTGGGGAGCGCCCGGGCAGTGTCGAGGCGCTGCGGGAGAGCTGCGGGGTCCGGCCGCGGCGGGGTGCGGCGCTGAGCGGCTGTGCCCGGCCCGCAGCCCCCGCTGCCCGCCCCGCCCCGGCGGGGGAGCCGCGGGAGGGTGGCCCGGCCGTGGGTGGCCGCACCGGGCCGTGGCTTCGCGGAGGGCCCGGCCGGAGCCATGCGAGTGGGAAATCTGTAGCGATCGGCTCGCGGCTGCCAAATCTGACGCCCCCAGCCGGGACCCGAGAGCGGTGGTGGCAAGGAAGGATGCTGCCAGAAATACCCCCGCTACTGGGGCTGGAGGAGATGTCATTGCCCAGGCAGCTGGCGGGGACACAAGCCCTGGTGCCTCAGGCAGGCATTCGGCAGCTTTGGCCACTTTCTAGGGAGAAGAGAATGAGCTGCTGTGCCAGGGTGATGCCAGGGCAGCGTGTGCTCTGTTAGGGATCCCACCAGGTAAGGACTCTAAGCTGAGCTGTCCTCTGTGAAAGGAAGCCAGCAGTCTCGTTCCAGGGCTTGCACATTTCCCATGTGTGACCTGCCTTAGCCTTGGGAAAGATTACGCTTCCCAGAACAAATGGAGGACCTGTGATTTTGAGGTCTTCTTTCTAAGGACTTCCTTCAATGGATAGAGACAGAGCCTGTATTTCACTCAGCTGTGTTTGTGACACTTAGGCTGTATAAAGGAAACCAACATCCCCAACCCTCTCCACAGAGATGTTGCTTGGTGTGGTGCATCCTCGAGGAGAAATGCCTTTGGCTTCTTTCTCCTCACAGCCCTCAATGGAATAGATTACAAGAAGGTCTGCAAAAGGAAGGGGTTACTCACTTCAGTGATGGTCTCCTGAAAGCCAAAACCGCTGGAGCTTATACTGAGTTTGAGGTAGCTCCAAAGTCATTCTGAATGGAGATTCAGAGAAGCAGAGCTGGTTCCTGGAGATTTCCCACTCTGCTTTTGTCAACAAGTGCTGGATCCAAATGGCTTGACGCAATTTTACTTACAGGTATGTTCAATGTTTAGAAAAGGAACAACACTTCAGCCAGGGTCCCCATAAATCAGACTGATTTTCTGAGACAAGGGGAGGCTCTTAATATGAATATTTATCCTGTGTGTTTCATAGCATCATTGCAGAAGTAGATGTCAACCATGCGCAATCCCCAATACAAAGAGGATGCTAGACCACCAGTTCCCTTGCAGGATAAGGCTTTCCTGCATTTGGAGAGCACGCCTTGTGTATCTGTATGTGTATATTCACATGCACACTTCCAAAGAAGATTCTTCTCTTAATGCTTTTGAGCAGAAGCACCTACATTTAATTAAGAAAAGACAACATTCTCCCATGACATTCCTTGAGTAACACAACAAGCACCATCACAATAGTGAGCAAACAGTTTTTGCAGGACAGAACAGCGTCTTTTCAGTGCATTCACTTCCAAGAGGATACCATCTTTTTCTTTGAATCCTGAGCAGTAGCATTTCACATGACTCTGTTTCCCCATGCACTTGGAAGAGGTGGCTTTTCCTCTGTCTTTCCCACACTATTGACCTGTGTCAGTTGTTTGGCGATTGAGGCACATTTGCATTGTTCAGGGCCTCCAGCAGCCTTGAGGCAGCCTCCTGCAACTCTTCTTCCTTCACTGCCTTCCCAACAGACAACAACAACTTCATTGTCTGCAGCGAGCTCTGCACCTGGCTGTCTAGCAGCCTGAGGAGGAGATCCTCAATGTCACTGTGTGGCAGCTGCTGGCCACCGGCTGTCGCCTCTGTGGCTTTTGGGCCAGCAGGTAAGAAGGTGGGGGTCACAGATACTTCCGTGTCAGGGCTGGAGCCAGCTGGGTGGGTACTTGTGGGAGATGTGGGGTAAAGTGGCTGGGGACCGAAGTTTCTGGATGACATGGCATCACTGCTCGTGGTAACGTCGTTGGCGCCTGCTGTGTTGCGCAGCTTGGCGCTGCTCTCTCCTGGGCATGCGATCCTCTGAGGAGGAGAAAACATACCTCTGTAGAGACTTCAGGAGCAGGCACCTAGGCACTCCCCTGTTCTGTGAGTTTAGCTCTCACTGCACAATCCCATCTTTCCCACTCCCTACAAAGATGAGCCCAAGAAAGCAAAGAAACCTTCATACCCTTTCTTTGTCGAGTCTCCCCATAAGTCTCTCATGGGACTCACAGGTGTCTTTACTTTCTTTCTTTTCTAGCCTGCATGAATCCCCCCTCTCCTGGAGAACCTAGATTGTCTCAACTTGGTTGGGAACGAGCTGGAGAGGAGGGCTGAGGTGGTCCTCACAGGTTCATTTTCTTGAAGATAACTCCTGCAAAGTCTCCTTTTTGGCAAATGGCTTCAGGTGCCATCTGAAGCGAATCAGCTTGGTGTGAGTGCACCTGGAATGTGGGATACCCTTGGCTCTCTCCTCTCTTCCCTGTCTTTTAGCCTCTTGTTTTCCCACTTCCTTATTTTCAGGGCTCTCCCTTTAGCTTATTACTTGCCCAGAGCACACATAGTCTTCAGGAAATAGCTAAATAACTCACCTTAAGAAAATACTTTTTCTTAATACAGCGATAAAAAGAAAAGGTGCAGAAGTTTGGGAAGAAAGGATTTCCTGGCATTTCAGAGCATACGGGTCCTAGAAAGAGGCAAAGGAAGAGACAGACCTAGTGATAAACTCCAGTGCTGGCATCCTATCAGCCCTTAGCAATAACCTCACTGTTGAGTGACATCCCTCCATGAAAACTCCTATGCCATTTGGGTGCCCCCCTGAACCTTGTGAGAAACTCCGTGTTTTCTTGGTCATTTCCATGACCCAGGGTGTGAGAGGAGGCTTGTCCTAGGAACGTGTGTGGATGCAATCACGTGTGAGAGAGGATGTGCATGAGCACATGCCTTCTCTTCACTGCAGGATTGCTACCCATCTCTCTGCCCCACCAGCTCCCGAGTCTGTCCTCTCACAGTGATCGGGTCCTGTGCGGGACCCCCATCCAGCTACCTGCCCTTGGGAATCACGCTTGGCTTTACCTTGAGGGATGACTCCGTGGTTTTCGTACTTGTCCAGTGTCTGGACCAGTGAGTTCTGGCAGCCATACAGCTCACGAAGATGGCAGGCAGTGCTGGCTTGGAGAGTGATCCGGAGGAACTTAAAGAACTGGCGGTACTCCTGGTCGGAGAGTGGCGTTCCTGGCTGCTGTGCCTTCACCCCCCGAGGGCCAACTATGCAGCCCCATCCCAAGAGCACTGGTAAAAAATAAAGTGCAGGGAGTCAGAGGGAGAAGGAAACCCTAACCACACCACATTCAGAAGAGCTGGAGAGCTGAATCCAGATCTCTGTTGCCTTTTCTGGGTGCAGGATCCAGCATGTGGGAAATGCAGTAACAGACTAGAGATGGCGGGTCCAGAGCTGGGAAAAACCTGCCCCACCCATGTTGAGGGGGGTGTAGTATTTTGGGGACAGTACTTGGCTGAGGGGCCTTCACCATAGCTCTGGAGATTTAAATCTTGAACTGGGAGAAATGTCTTGGAAGTCATGGCTGGGAATATTGCTGTGCTCTTGGGGCTGGAGCAAGGAGACTGTTTCATTTCAAGATTTTTAGCCTCCACAAATGTTCTTCCTCTGGCTAAGTAGGTCTTTAACCAAGGTCCTCTCTCAGATCTCCTTCTCTTGCCTCCCCTGTTGCTTCACTGGGCCAGCTCTTTCCTCCTGGCCTTGCAGGTCAAGTCTAGATCTCTGTGCTTGTGTCTGATTTAATGCACCCAGGTGTCCCTGTCTCCAGTCTCTACCTCTGCTCCAGTCTGTGCCTACACATCCAACTCTGGCTCCTCCCTGGCTCCTAGATCATTCTGTGGCCCTTCCTGAAGAATAGATACCAGCACAAGTGGGTGAAAACTGGCAAAATCGTAAGCCTCAGGATCTTTGCACCTGAGGTGTCAGAGGGTGCTCCTGTCCCTTCCTTTTGCCTCCAGACTGCCCAAGCCGAGGAGCAATGGGGAGGGGTGCAGAGCAGCCACTTCAGCTGCCCTTTCTCACAACCAGGCTTGGAGGAGAGATGTTTGCTACTCACCTGACAAAACCAGGTAAGCCCTCATAGCCAATATCGAACTGTGAGCAGGGCCTGTGACAGGCAGGGCCGACAGTCAGGGCCCAGTGTGCTGCCAGAGGTGTCACCTCCACTCTTTCACTGGTGATGTCATAGACACCTGCATTCCCAACACTCCATCCTCTGCTGCTCACACCTCCTCCCTGCTGCCTCCCCCCCCGCTGCCCCCTGACAGGCTGAGTGTGGACATATTGGTATTTGTGCACCAACTCCTGCTCACTGGCAGCTCTTTAAAGTCCATCTGGAAGGAGGCCATTTTTCTGGAGCACAGGACAAAAAATTCTGCCTTCGGACTGCTCGTGTCAATAAATGTGTGAACAGATCAAAATCTTGTCTCTCACCCAGACCTTTGCATGCCTGGCTGACCCACTGAGAGCGACTGAGCAAAGTACTCCTTCAGTGAAGGCAATAAACAGAGTTCCAGACAGAGGCAAAAAGCAGCCTGGTTGTGAAGGTGGCATTTTTCCTCCACCTGCAAAACAGAACTGCATTACATTATGTTCTCCTTTAGTTCACTGGGAAGAAAAATGATGGAGAGAACACGGTCTGAAGAATTAATATTTTTCTTACACAAAACTCATCAGGAGGCATTTTTGTCTGGGAGTGGAGCAGGAGGAACACCCAGACACTTGTGAGAAGGCAACAAGCTGGCAGGCAGCTCTCAGTGTGTGTGTTTGACCTGTCTGTGCTACATGAGGTGGCCCTGGTTATTGGACCCGAACAGCGGTGTCACAGTGTGCATGGCAGGACAGACAGTGACCCTGACTCATGTTTCTGGGTGTCATTTTCCTATGGTCTAGGTTGCTTCCAGCTCCTAAACACTTACCCTCCTGAAATCTTATTCTACAGCACTGCTACTATGATGGGTATTTATTATGTCTGTTTTCTTTCCTCTGATCAGGACCTGCAGTTCCCAGCTTGGCTTTAACCTTTCAGATGGAGTGAAGAGAAACAGCTTTTTGGCCAGAAGCAACTAAATACCAAGACAGTAGAGAGACTGCTCACAAGGTGAGAAATTGCATGAAGCATGTCCAGGAAGGGAAGAGCTGAATGCTGAAAATTTGGTGTGTACTGTGCTGCATGCTCCACAGTCACCCTGCCTCTTCTGCTCCCATACTATAGAGATGCTGCTTTCAGGAAGATTTGTAGGCAGGGTATGACAAAGACAAAATACACTTCTGGGGTATCTAGACCCTATCCAAAATGAAATCAAATCCTGTGTATTTTTCAGCAAAGACTGCACTCAGACTGTTAAAAGACATAACTAACCAAAGTGTGGCTTTTTCTTCCTTTCACACGGGCAGTATTTTTAATGTTTTATTGGTCACTTTGCTGCTTTGAGGTGCTTTTGAGTATCTTTATTTGTACTACAAATGTTTTTCATCCCTGAGTGTTGTAAACAAAACTTTGGGAATTGGTATAACCCATGTGGTAGTGCCTTCCAAAATCTGCAGATCACTTGAAACAAAACCTGGTGCATGATCTCATATTCCATATTGAGGAGAGCAGTTGTGATGTTCCTCTAACCTTGCTACATGTGGGAACTTTGAGGGCAAGCAAGTGACAGGTCTTGCCCTTTAGGGCTGTAACTTTATGACAGAATACCCCCCTTGCAATCTGTGCCATAGTGGCCACCCATTCTTGAGTCACATTCCGTTCCTATGCTCCTTGGTTTCCGTGCCCTCTGCCCTGAGAAGATACTGAGGGGCTGTCTCCTGTGCTGTCAGCTCATGGTACAGCAGGTCTTGGTGGCCTCCCTGTTTGGGCTTCTCCCTCAGACAAGCAGGGGGTTATTCACTGCTAGTTCCTCTGTTCATTCCAGCAGGTGACAGGACCGTGGGTGACATGCAGAGCAGCAGCCATCATCAGGAAAGTCCTGTGAGAGCTGAACTGCATCTGTGTTCCCCCAGGAAGCTCACAGGAGATACCTTGCAGGACACCGACCAAAGACAAGACTGCAAGCAGGAGTTGGAGACGGAAAGTGAGATGGACACATCTTTTACAAAGAGACAAGGAATGGTAACTCCCTATGGGATGGAAATCTGGGAGTGCGAGGACAGCGGTAGAGGCCACATCAGCAAGGTTATCCTTGCTGGGGACAAGCCCGACCCACCCACGTGTGGGAATGGTGCCATTTGGATTCACCAGGTGGGAGAGAAAACCTATGAGTGTCCTGAATGTGGGAAGAGCTTCAGCCGGAGTTCTTATCTGAGCCAACACCAGAGGATCCACCTGGCAGAGAAACCCTTCAGCTGCTCTGAATGTGGGAAGAGTTTCACCCGCAACTCGGACCTGATCAAACATCAGCGGATCCACACTGGTGAGAAACCCTACCAGTGCAATGAATGCAAGAAGACCTTCAGCCAGAGGTCCAACGTGATCAGGCACCAGCGGACCCACACGGGAGAGAGACACTACCTGTGCAACGAGTGCGGGAAGAGCTTCAGCCAGAACTCGCATCTCATTGTCCACCAGCGCAGCCACAAGGGTGAGAAACCCTTTAATTGCCTCCGGTGTGAGAAAAGCTTCAGTGACCGTTCCTCCCTGATCATACACCGGAGAGTCCACACCGGAGAGAAGCCCCACAAATGCCAAGAGTGCGGGAAGTGTTTCCGGGACAGCTCGGCCATCATTCGGCATCAGAGGATTCACACGGGAGAGAAACCGTACGAGTGCACCGAGTGTGGGAAAACCTTCCGGCAGAGCTCCTCGCTGGTGACCCACACACGGACACACACGGGCGAGAAGCCCTACAAGTGCCCTGTGTGCGGGAAGGGCTTCAGCCAGAGCTCGGCGCTCACCACTCACCGCCGGATCCACGGTGGGAAGGCCCTGCCCATGTACCACGGCGGCCTCCTGCCTAACCCCTTCCAGTGCACCGAGTGCGGCCGGAGGTGCAGCGACCACTCCACCCTGGCCAAGCACCAGAGCACACACGCCGAGGAGCGGCCCTTCATCTGCGTGGAGTGCGGGGACAGCTTCCGGCGGAGCTCGGCTCTCAACGTCCACCTGCGGATCCACCGTGGGGAGAGACCCTACAAGTGCGAGGAGTGCGGAAAAACGTTCAGGCACAGCTCAGCCCGCTGTGCCCACCTGAGGATCCACGCAGGAACCAAGCCCTACGAGTGCGTCGAGTGTGGGAAAAGCTTCCGGAAAAGCTCAACACTTAAAGTGCATCTGAAAATCCATGTGGCCAAGAAGCCCTATAAAAGTGTGGTGGGTAGAAGAGTGCTCACTTTCCGCTCACTTCTGCCATAAGCCTGGAGTGGGTGTTCAGAGCAGGAAACTAGTGTTGGGGCTACCTTAAAAAGGTGGGTAATGAGAACCATGGTGTGAAGAGACTGACTGGAGACACAGCATCTCTGGTGTTAGGGCTGGGTGCTAAACCCCAGTGGCACAAGAACTATTAGGAGGTCTGGAAACAGGGAGTTAGTCCTAAGAGCTGAGTGCTGGTGGTTTAGGAAGAGTGCCAGGAATGTGAGGAATGAGCACCAGCTTCAGGGTAAATCAGGGACTGAGAATATGTGGTAGAATAACAGCTGGGAGAATTGGGCTTGTAAAATACAACAGAAGTGAAGATCGTAATAAAATGTTTCAGGTTGGTTCTGGCTCAAAACTTTAGCTCGTTAGACACTGTAGTAGTCTTAGGAACTGAGCTCTCTTATTATTACCTTCCCTTATTTTTCATGAATATAGCAGTTTACCCAGTGTTTGACAAGGCATTTTCAAATCTTTTGAGTCTGAGACTTTGGAGCTGAACTTCAGTCTATTTTGTCTTTTCCAAATCTTACGTGGGACAATGAGTTCCTACCTCATGATAGGTGAGTATGTACCCAGAAAACATGGATGTGGAAGCGTTTCCATTTGAAAAGCAGCCCATTAATAGTCTGTGACAGCTTCTCCCAGATTTCTTCTTACTGATTTGAAACTCCTTCTGCTTGGGACATAAATGAAACATGGACAAAAATGTGGCCTTTTTTTATTTAACCAAAAAACCAGGATTTTCCCCCTAGATGTCCCAGTCTGAAATGTTACGTGGTGAGTTCTTACTGCTGGTCCAGAGACTGACTGCAGTTCTGTAGTCCTTTTTACACTACTCTTCTTTAGCTCACCGTTGTTTGAAAAGTATTAACATATAAAGTTCAGCACCGAACAGGTAGGAACGACTATATTTGCATTTATTACTGTGCCAACGACCGTGTATTACATAAACCTGTATTGCAATGTTTTGTTACTGCATGTTTCCATCCTGAATAAAACGTTTCATTCTCTCCTGCGTACAGTCCAGTAGTCTGCGTGTGATGGAGGGTGGGAAGGGGTGGGGGTGAGCACCAGGCGGGGTTTGGCGAGGCGGGATGCTCGGGCAGGGCGATGGGAGCACGGGAGGGAGGACGGGGCGGCCCCGCTGGCGGTGCGGTCCTTCCGGCGCGTCACGGGAAGGGGCGGGAGCGGCTCCGGCGCCCGGTTCGAACGGGGCAGGATGGAGAGCGGGATGGAGAGCGGGATGGAGAGCGGGATGGAGAGCGGGGCGGCGGCAGCGGGCCCTGCGTGCGGGCGGTTCCCGTTCCCCTACACGCCGTACCGCATCCAGGAGCAGTTCATGGAGGCGCTGTACGGCGCGCTGGAGGCCGGCCGGGTCGGCATCTTCGAGAGCCCCACGGGCACGGTGAGGCGGGGCGGGGGCCGGCGCTGTGCCCGGCGGGGCGCGGCTGCGGGGTGGCGGGGTGGTCTGTGACAGCAGCGCTCCCTCACCCTCTTGGCTTCCCACGGCAGGGAAAGTCCCTGAGCCTCATCTGCGGGGCCCTGTCGTGGCTCCGGGACTTGGAGGAGAAGAAGCGGCAGGAGGAGGCGCGGCTCCTGGAGGGGCTGAGCCCGGCCGAGCCGGGACACCCGGGAAGCACCGACGCGGCCGGGGAACCGGACTGGGTGACGGCGTTCGTGCAGAGGAAGGAGGAGCGGGACAAGGTGGACAGGCTAAAGGTTGGGAAACGCTCATCTGTAGGGGATGGGTGAGATACTGAGGAAGGGATTGGGAAGGCTGGTATCACAGAATGGCTGGAGATGGAGGGGACCACTGGAGGTCATCTAGACCAACCTCCCGGCTCCAGAGGCCCTGGAGCAGGATCGTGCCCAGACGGCTTTTTAATACCTTCAGGGAAGGAGACTCCACAGCCTTTGGGCAAACTGTTGCAGTATCCCGGGTGATGAGTGGAAAAACACGTGAGGCAAATTTGGTGGTGGTCTGTCTGTCACAGGAGTTTGTTTCCATGAGGAGGGATGAGGCATTGCCCTGCGGGTCACATAAGACAGGAAACAATATTCCTTTGAACAGAGCAACACACAGTAGGTGCTCGAGGAGAACAGGACTGTGTACTAACAACTTCAGTGCTAATTTTTCTCTACACCCAGAGCTTAGTGATACCAAGGGTTGAGGAATAAATACACTTCCCACTCCCTTTATTGTAGGAAGAGCAGATCAAGAGGAAAAAGCGAGAAGATCGTCTCGAGAAAATTCGCAATAACGTGCAGTTAAAATATGCAGCAAAGAGGAAGGTGAGTTATTCCGCAGAGATTAGAACCTTCTGTTTTGGTTACACTGAGTGTTGTTCATACTTGTTTATGTCTGTGACTTCACACTGCCTTTCTGAGGAGCTTTTTGTATTCAGATGCTGAAATTTGCCATCCAAAATTTTTGGTTAGATTTTCTTTTAGAAGTACAGATGTGAAAAACAATTTGTGCATCAGTAATTTCCTCTGGGTGTGTTTGTGTGTGGGTGGAAATGACGTGTGTTTTGATGACCTCTGCCCTTCTGCTTCTCTTTAAAAGTTTTAATACTTAGATTTTTTTTTTCGAAAGCTGTCTGTTGTATGAGCATGTGTGAGCTCTCTGTATTTCTGGAATAAAAACTGTCATTAAATTTATGGTCATGAGAACAGAATACCACCCAAAGGAAGCCAGGTCAGGCATTGCTTGTACTTCAGTCACCACTAGGGAACAATTGTTTTTGTTTACTTCCACGGTAAACATGATTGTATTGTTCAGAAATGTTTCTTTTCTGCATGCAAAATGTTCTCAGATATATTTTCCTGTAATTTAGATTAATGAACTGGCCTCAGTACTCTTAGCTCTAAGAGGTTTTTGATGATACGAGTGGAACTTCCCAGAAATACATATTTCAAGTCCCCAAATAGGCAGATTTATGAGGCTGCCAGGCTTTTAGTTTCTAGTGTGCTCCATCTCAAGTGTCATGTAGTGTTTTGGTCAACTCCTGTCAAAGGGACATGACAGAAATAGTGAAGAATGGCAAATAAAAAACAAGTGGAACAAAGACCTTGTCTCTTTTAGGAGGATGAAGAGCCTGTGAAATGAGAAGCATGATAAAAAGCAAGAAAGTAAATGAGAGAAATATTATAGAGATTTAGAAAAGCAATTAATCTTCTGTGTAGGGCTTACCAACTGCATTTCTTTATAATGCCATGGTAATAAAATACTTACTGACATTGGAAGATACGATTTTCAGATTGAAAAACAAACTTTATCAGGACACAAAGTTAGTCAAGAAACTGTTCTTCAACAGCTTAATGCAATTTTTGTTGAAGGCTAGACCTGTGTTAGAATAACAATCACATAACTGGAGAAAAAAACAGCAAGTGAAGTCTTGTGCTCTGTGTTCTAAAACAGATGCTGAGTTAATCCTAGTTTTGAATTAGGTGTACATGGAGTGTTTGATTATATCCTTATATGTTTGCTTGGGTTTATTTACGCACTTTTTTTCTCAGGCAGATTTGGGACACTTTAAGCAACTAATACTTACATGAATGTTTCACTGAGGATCTATTAGTTCAGCAGGCCTTTGGCATAGAATTTTCTTTGTTTCCCTTTTATAACTGTCTGTGTGGGCAAGTCTTTGACTGTTGGTAACAGCTGCATTCTGTGGGGCTGAACAGCTTCAGACCCCTTTGGTGCACTGCTTGCCCTGCTGTGGGTTTACCCAGCAAGTCATTCCCTGTGCTGTGTGTGAAGGACTGCTGTCTTCTGACCTGTCTGTGCCATAAAGTGATGCTCGTGCTGCCTCTCTTTTTATATGAGAAATACTGCACTCCTGTGTTCCTCTCAGAGATCCGAGGAGGAGGAGACAAAGCGCCTTCTTCAGCTCAGCAAGGAGGCTCTGTCACAGGGAGCTGGAGCAGATGTTCTGGACCAGCTGGATCACAATGAGGAGGAGCTGATTCTTGCTGAATATGAGAGTGATGAAGAAAAGAAAGTGGTATCTGGGTAAGGACAGGGACTGAGGGGGTTCCACGCCAAAGAAACATTTTCTGTATAGTTTTCGGCTTGCTCGGATTAAAGAGATGTCACCTGTAATGGTGCAGATTTTATTCAAAATAGTTTCTCATCTTTTCAGACTGTGTAAGGTAGTGGTTGTTCTGGGGTTTTGTTTAATTGGTTGTTTGGTTTTTTTAAGCTTTTCTTAGATTGATCAGAGTGACCTGAAATGCTTTCTGAGAAAATGCGTCTTAAAATGCTTGGCGGTGTCCTGCCTTTATCCATGCCCAGTTTCCCAAAAAGTGCCTCTGGATGCTGAGCAAATGACTCGAGATTAAGTTCCTTGCATTGGAAAAGCAGAATGGAACTCAGGACATCAGAGGAAGCTGTCAGTCCTGCAGATTAGCACTGGCATCTTTTGATACTCTAAAGGGAGAGATGTTCACATTTCTAAAGACAGAGCTTCGGCATGAAAATCTCATGCACACTTTTCTCTCTCATACATTTGGTTTATGGCAAAAGCCAGAAGTCATAATTCAGCACAAAAAGTCAAATGTGTTTAAAATACAAATTTACTAATTAGTATCTAGACAAATCCTTCTGCCTTAAAAAGTGAAAAATACTTAACTTTTTCATTTATATGTAGTTTATCAAACATTAAACTGCTGTTGCCTTTGAGGAACTCTGTGGCAGCCGAGGGCTTTCCTGAAGCTTTTCTTTGTGCAATAGCTGGAGGGTGGTAAATTGCCTCTACAGGGAAAGCTTTACACAAATAAATAGATAAATAAGCTCACCAAAGAATGGTATAGCAGTGATTAGCTTATGCCTAGGGCTTAGAAGCCCCAGAATCAAAAGAAAAAAACCTCTTGAATTTGCAAAAGCAGAACCCTAAAGACATTTCCCTTTTAAAGAGCAAAGCTCAACTTGATTGTGTGCGCTTACACTTTTCTTAAAAAGTTGATTTTTCTTTTACCACCTGGGTTAAGATCTGAGGCTTTTTTTGAGATGACTTAACCAGCTTTCTCTTTTGAGATCTCTCTCTTTATAGAGCATAATTTGATTCTTACTGCCACTGGTCTGCTGAAAGGGAACTGTTTGAGCTTTCTCTTTTCTTAGGCTGGAAGAAGATGACGATGATTTGGAAGAGGAGCATGTGACTAAGGTGAGATGAGGAAAGTAAATAGTGTCACTTCATAAAGTAGTGTAGGAGTGAGCAGAATTATGGCTTCCTTGCACCTTTCCAACAGTCATGTGGTACAGAAAGATTTAGGAACTAACATACAAGAACTGCCAAGTTTGTTGATAGTGGCAACTAGTTCTGCTGTGCTCATCTCCTTCTGGACTACACTGGCTGCCTAAGCAGCTTGCTCTGCTAGCACTGCTTAATTTTTGCTGTGGCTTGCTGTAAAAGCACACTGCAATAAATAGCATTTTATTACTCTCCAATGGTGAGTCCTTGTTTTTATAGAGATGTTGGAAAATTAAATGGAAACAAAGACAAATGATAGGAGAAAACAAAGATGGGGCTTTTAGCCTCAGCAGTTGTGACACTCAAACTTGTGTTTTTGAAGGCTTGAGCAAGGTGAGCCTTGTTGGAGTGCTTGGCTGCATCCTTGCAGGATTGGTTGTAGGTAGGGGATTGACTTCCATGTTCTTCTTGTCTTCCCTTTGTTCTCCCTTGCTGCAGATTTACTACTGCAGCCGCACTCACTCCCAGCTCTCTCAGTTTGTGCGCGAGGTGCAGAAAAGTCCTTTTGGCAAAGACACACGTCTGGTTTCCCTGGGATCCAGGCAGGTATGTGGTGGTGTTCTCCGGGGACCCAGAGGGCATGTTAACATAATATGAGAGACTTTGTGAGGAGGTATGTGGATGTGGTGCCCCAGAAGGCACCTCGGGGGTTGACTGAGTCTCCCACTGGAAAACTAAAGCCCTCGTGGGTCTCAGCACAGATCTATGTGATGTAGATTCTTCTGTGAACTCTCTTTTGGTCACTTACCCTTTGATGTAA